TGGCATTTCATATATTATGTAAAGGTGCACCTTTTTTTTTTTTTTTTTTTTTTTTTAGAGTAAATTGAATTAGAGGGCAAACAATGTGTCTTTTAAAGGAAACAGTGCATTAAAGTTAAGAATGCACATATACATATATTTAAAAAAATCCCCCTTTAAAGATTTTTTGTTTTGTTTTTTGTCTCGCCTCAACAATTAAGAGTGTAAAATATCTAACTTTGATTTAAAATAATCGGATTAAATGTAAAAGTAAATACTTTAGTCTAATCTTTAATCTATAATCTATTTCATTTAATCGTGAAAAAAAAAAAAAAATTATTCCTGGTTAAATCCTAAATCAATTTTAATGGACAATGTTTTTGATAAGTTTAGTTCAACTTCATTGGATAACCCCAAGCCTGGTTACTCCCAGACCTGTAGACTAAAAAAACTCCATGACGGAAAACATGACATTAAAGTACACTTTTTCAAATGTTTGATCTAAAATCATTGACTTCTATAAGCGATTTTTAAGGCTATGGGGATGCAGTGAAAAACAGTCAGAGCCATTATCCATGAACTGGGAAAAAGGCGAAACAGTGGAAAGCATTCCCAGCAGTAGCCTTTATACCAAAATTATCAGATGACTTCATTAATGAGGTTACAAAAAGCACCTTAGGCCAGGTCTAAAGAGCTGGAGGCATAACTTTGCTTAATAATGGTAATTATTATTGATTTTACATTAAGAAAGAATCTAAAAAATTATAGCATGGGTGAGTTGAAAGATAACAAAATCTATCCACCAAAAAGGGTATTTAACTTAATCCATCTTGATGATACCAAATACATGTGGGAAAATATTCTTTGAATTGACAAGACAAGAGGGAGATTCTTTGTACATCTGGCCTAAAACTGAGACATGTTTAGAAAGAGAACCATACCTGAATAATACCCTGTCAATGGCACTGGGATGACTTTTGTTTAAACTCAGTGCAATTTGTGACATTTAGCACTTAGACCCTTTAGTTATGCAGCAAAACAGTTATTCATAGCACACTAGGATGTTGCATCGACATCAGGAATTCCATCCATCCCCTTTCCTATAACCAGTCGCAGTGGCGGCTGTCCAATAGAAGGCGCTAGAGTGCCGTCCCACTCAGACAATGAGCCAGATTGAGACATAAAAAGAGAAATATATATATTTTTTATAAAAATCTAAACTATTTCAAAATATATATATATATTTTTAGATATGCAGGATAAATATAAATAATATTTAATGATGAGTAAAGCGATTTCATTTTTCGTCAGATTGGTGACATATATCCACCCTAGGGTGCAAGAAGGTTTAACCATTGACGAGCAGTGACCTGAGGGGACAGGAAGTGTATTTGCTCACCACCTTTCACAGCTAGACACTTTTGGGGGTGATTTGCAGGTCAAGTCACGGGAGTTGTAGACGCATTGCTGAGAGAGAGAGAGAAATAGCGGAAAAAAAAAAAAAAAAAATTGGTGAAGACCCTTTAAGCAACACCTTTTGAGCAGAGAACTTACCAAGAGAAGCTGGAGGTGAAGGCTCTTGGCCCTGATAAGATGAATATCAATATTAATCAAAAGTCCAAAGGTTGGAACAGTCTGAGAGAATGATTATCACTAAGGGAAGCCGCACCACTCAATTATCTGATCCTCTTGTTGGCAAATGCATCAAATTGAAAACAATATATCTCACCCCTTTCCTTCTCTGGTAAGTGTGAAATTCCATTGAAACATACATATTCCAAATGTTCAAACTGACTAGACTTCTAGATTTTTGTAATATGTACAATTCTTTTGTGAAAAACTGCAGATACATGCTGGGGCATATGCACCAATATAATTTATCTAGTGACATTGGACATTTGTCTATGAAATAATACTACAATAGTAAAGCTTGAGATTTGCTGTGATCTCATGACACATTTTCTGAGAGGAATGGCACCTCTATTGACTGCTAGCAAAGACTCACCGAGTTGTTTTCTGGCTTAAAACTGTTGTGGCAGGTGGACAATGCTTTAAATTGTCAGATACAGAGTTATTCTTAGATTAAAAATAGCTGCCTGAAATCATTTATATCAAATTATTCTGCTTTGAGAAATTCCTAAAAGGAGTTAGAAATCTTTCCTTAAATAGATGACTCTATACATGACACTGGCAGTTCCTCTGGCACTAATTCCTGAGAGGCTTTGTATTTGAAAAGCTTGGTTAGTATCCAGCTGTGTTCTGCTCTTACAGCAGCCAATTCTGATACCCAATCTTCTTTCTGTGCAATATTTTACTTAGACTTATACTTAGAGACATAGACAGACTTTATTAACTTTATTACACACAAATGTATAGAAAAAGAAATTTAATTCAGTACAGCTCTCAAGACATTTTATTTTTTTCAAGTGCAGTTTTGATAAAGGTAAGCAGCAGCAATAATGTAAACTTACGACTGTATAGTTACAGTTCCAACAATTAGGTTTTTTCTTATAACCCCATTTTATATAACATTCAGCAGTTGGCAGTGGGGAAGACACTGTTGTGGAATCTGCCGGACCTGCATCCAATGCTTCGAAGTCTCTCCTAGAGGGCAGCAGGGAGAACAGTCCATGTTTGGGGTGTGAGGGGTCATTTATAATGTTATGTGCTCAAGACACACAGTGCTGGGATGAAATGTCTTTAATGGAGAGAAGAGGAGCCTCAAGGATCTTCTCTGCTGTTCTCACCACTCTTCCCATCTTCTTCCATTCTGAGGCGCTGAAGCCTCCACACCACACAGTGAGACAGCTGGTCAGAACGCTCTCTATGGTGCTTCTGTAGAATGTGGTGAGGATGGGTGGGGGCAGGTGGGCTCTCCTCATCCTCCGCAAGAAGTCCATGCACTTTTGTGCCCTTTTGATCAGTGAGGTACATAGTCCAGTTGAGGGTTTCTGGGACGTGGATTTTGGTGGTACTGACCACCTCTAAGGCCGACTGTGGTCTGTTGGTGAGGAAGTCTAGCGGCCAATTGCGGAGGGGTGTATTGAAGCCCAGCTGTTTCAGTTTGCCCATCAGATGCTGTGGTATGATGGTATTGAAAACTGAACTGAAGTCCAGGAACAGCATCCGACGATGTGTTCTTTAACCAGCCTTTCGAAGCACTTCATCATGATTGGAGTCAGTGCGACAGGCCGGTAATCATTTAGTGAGGTGACCTGAGGCTTCTTTGGTACTGGAATGATGTTGGCAGACTTGAAGCATACTGGCACTACGGATCGGTCCAGCGAGGGGTTAAAAATATCTGTTAGGAAACCAGCCAGCTGATCGGCACACTCCTTATACACCCAGCCAGGTATGTTATCGGGCCCTGGGGCCTTCCTTGGGTTGACTCACTTCAACTACGTCCAGGTCTAGTGCCTCCTCCCCCTGGTGTGGAACAGCTTTTTATTATTTATTTATTATTAATATTATTTCAATATTCCTACAGGGCTTTTACTATCTATAGAGTGAAACCAATTAATCAACCTGTTTCTGTCCCAAACATGTTGGGTTAATATTTTCTTTATTCATTTTTTTTTTTTATATCTACAGTAAAAGCAATAATTTAGGATTTTTGAAAGCATACGTGAATATTGTTTTGCTCAGGTTGGATTAGACAATGTAATGTATGTCTGCTATTTATGTAGTACTTGCAAGGAACCTTGTACCTTAGTGGAAACAGATAGCAGAAATTAATTTTTTCCAAGTTTCCACGTTCCATGTAAACATTTTTTCTTCTAACTTTTTGAATGATGTCTTCTTTTTACTTAACAAGAGGTTGCAAGAGTGAAAAATGAAGCCTAGGCAGAAGTTCAGCTGAAGTAACTATATTACTTGCTCTCATCATCAGAGGATCATCTGCCTCGGACACAAACCAGTCAGCTTTGAACCATACCTCCACTAAGTCCAATCAGCATCCAGAGTTCATCCTAAAAGGTTTTAAAATTCACGACTCAGTCTGCTACTAAGCCAAAGTGCAAGAAGTGGTTGCGCTTTGTCTCAGATGACCTCGATTCAACCCACCTCCATCCCCTTCTCCACCATCGTAGCTTAAGATTCATCTGACTTTTCCAATATGCTTCTTCTACTTCGTCCCCATCAGAGTGTAATTCCTCCTGGTCTCTTACTGCATTCCCCGTCACATCTCAACCGGTCAGGCAGAAGACCCCCATGTTGAGCCTGGTTCTGCCAGAGCTTTCTTCATAAAGGGGAGTATTTTCATCTCTAGTGGTGCTTCATGCTTGCTCATCATGGACTGGTTCATTCAAACCTGTGTTTATCTAAGCTGGTCATCTATCTTTCCGGGTACTCTGAGTGAAGCACTAGAATTAGCTTACACTGTCTACTGGATCTCACCAATACAGCTCAAGCACTCTGTCTCGCCAACCAGCATTCTATGGAGTGACCAATTTAATCTATCTCCACTCCACCACCAGTTTCAGGCCTGGGGGGAAACATCCCTGTTCTAATACACCTGCTTATGCATAATAAAGTAAAAGTCAGCGTTAATGTTTCCTGCCAAGATCTGAGTGCCAAAGCCTTAAAATAATTTTATAAATAAACTTTTTCTAATTGTCTTTTTCTTTCCGTGTGAGTTTTTCAGATTGAAATAACTCAGATTAAAATATGCTACGATGAGGAAGAATCATTTTATATAGGTGGGTGAAAAGTGGTGTATTTCTTTCAACATTTTAATTTCTAAACAACCAAACGGAAAAAGAAAAAAGTCAATTTTTAAGTAAAAAACAAAAAACAAAAAAAAAACACTGACCCCACTGGTTGATATTTAAGGAGTTTTACGTTTGGTTTAAAAAAAATGTTTTTTTTTTGAATCAGCAAAACTGTAGTTTTTGAAGTATATTTAATTTTTTTAGACAAAAAAAAAAAAAAACAGCAAAAAAACATAGCCCTGGACATTGAAGATAAGATTAAATATTGATATCATTTCAGGTTATTCAAATTGTGTAGAGTGAAAGGAAAACTGCAAGTAAGTTACAGGAACAACAATTTTAATGGAATTCAGCACGTATCAATGAACGGTTTCATATGTACAAAATCTTCATTTGAACCATTTACCATAAATAAGGCATTTCTAGGATTGATAACAACCCACTGATTGCTCGGTTGGGTTCCTCAGTTCTAGCATGAATGGTTGCAAGTTCAATTCGTAAAGCCATTTAGGAGGTGATAGAAAGTATGCATGTAGCCCACACACTATTGGTAAAATGTTTCAGGACAAACAAACATTTCTTTCAGAATGCATTTCAATCGATTCATTCGATTTCATCAACCTTTGGCTTTTTTGGTTGATGTGATATGTAAGAGGAAGAGAGAAGATTTAACAACAGCTTAAATTAAGGTTTTATGCCCACTGGAAAAGACAAACAATTTATGCACAATATTTTACACTCCACAATATTAAAAAAAAGGAATAGAATCCTGAAGGTTGTTAACATCAGCACTTGCACTGTCCTTTGATAGCTTTTTGTCCTGTTTTGGGTCTTTTGACATCCGTCTCACTAAGCAGTCACTTCCAAAGTATATTTCCAAATGCAGAGACAGCCGTTCTCCATGTCAAAGTTGAAAGAAATAGAAAATGAAAATAGATTCATTAGAGGGTTGCGATGAAATTCCTTGCAGGCTGCTTGGAGTGTCGGTATTTTCAGGAGCCACAGCAAGATATGCTTTATGTGTTCAACATCTTTTAACACTTTGAATTGAAAGTGTTCACTTTTTTTTTAATAAACAATAGGCTCATTGTCTCTTGTGATAATTGGTCCAATGACAGAGCTAAAATGAGAAGAAATGTGTGAATATCACAGAAGTTTGCAGAAAATGTCTGTCTGCCCTTTGCAGAGCTGAGCAATTAGGCATAAAAAATAAATTACTACAGTGGTGCTTCAGGATGTAGAAAAAGACTGACCTTTGAACCAGAGGTATTCCAGTACATCATCTCCAACCAAATGTTAATACGTCGATGTTGTGTATGGCTGAGTGTTCTGAGAAAAAAATAGAAGGCAGAAATAGAGGGTAAGCCTGTGTTGTTAACAAGTCAATTTGCAGTAAAATTCAGAAGCAATAACCACTGTTTTGTTATTGCACAGCCAGCTTTGCATTACTGTCCATTTGTCTCCCTCGGCTTCGCTCTACACTGCATGCACATTTATTAGGCAAGTGAGGCTCTTGCCCCATCATTATTTCTTTGAATATTTTTCAACTCCAGAGCGCCTGTTGAATTTCATTTCTATCAGGTTGTGTTTTCCCTTTTCAGTAGAATAAAGAAATGCAACAAATGTGTATTAATCTCTATCTATATAAATTGTGCATATTTGTAAGTTAAGTGTGAAAAAAACCAAAAGGTGTGAACAATATTACAAGGTGCTGCTTACTGTACAGAATAAAAATGTTAGTTGTTATTTTTTCCCTGCTTATCAACATGAAAGAAATTAACAGAAGAGAGATCTAAATCTGATCAATGTTTGGTAGGACCAGTCTTTGCTCTGAAGACAGCATCATTTGGAAGAGTCTCTGACTGCAGACCTGCACTGTCAGGAACCTTTTATGCAGACCTGCAAAATGGGGTCTCCTGCACTGTCAGAACCGGAAGTTTATTCCAGAAGTTGTATTTGAAGCCTTAGTGAATAGCGTGCAGCATGTATTTGCTGTGGATTAGAGTTTATGACAGTGTTAGAATGAGCATAGGAGCAGTTTAAATTAAGTAAGTAGTAGGCAAAAATCCTCATAGGACCTCCATTGTCGTTTAGAAAATGTCTTATAGACCAAATGCGCTGTTCAATCCAACAATCCAAATACAGAGAATTTCTATGTAACATTCCAGATGGGATTTTGATGGGGAGTAAAATTGTGCGTGTAAATAAGTTTCCAGCATAAGAACACTTGTTTGTGAAAGGAAGCTAGCTTCACGGCGAGTTTATCAAAGCTAGCTTTTACTTTTGAGTCTTTGAATAACGTTCCGGTTCTAACAGCGCAGTAGACCTCACAGTGCAGCTCTGGGTCCTGACAGTGCAGCTATGGGTTCTGGCCGTGCAGGTCTAGAGCCATACCCCTCTCATCATGCATACTTGGACACAGTTGGCCACAGAAGATCCATGAATAAAGACTGCCTTATATCCTTTCATCTCTTCCTGCATTCTTAGACATGGTTGACGATGTTAAGATAAGGGTTTTGAGAGGGCCATCCCTCTATGGACTTGTTGTTTTCCATAATGCTGAAGTTAGCTCGTAATGAACTTAGCTGTATGTTTGGGCTCTATGTCTTTCTGCACGATAAGTTTGGAGCTATTCCTAAATTTCCTTGATATTCCTTTGTATTGCATGAAGGGACGTTTTTTTTTGCACCAATAACACCAATAGATATATATTTGTGTTTCACCAAGATATAAAAAATGTTGGTTCATCACTTCATAGCACCTGTCACCTGAGTCTTTAGACTTCACATCCTTCAGAATAATTTTTGTCTACCAGCCGATGTTTCCATTCATACGTATGTGGGTAGGTTTTGCTTTTGGTTTGAAATTTTAATACCAAGCTGATTTGTAAGCAAAAGAAGAAACAAGAGAAATATAAAAACAGTCAGATTTATACTCAAGTTTTCAATTGGCAGATCAAATGTTTAAGATAATTAGTCTAAAAAAGACAAAATATTCCCAAAAGCTTGGCCTTCACGTCATTTTCTCTCAGGCTTTCACACATTTTTATGACCCACTGATGGAAAAGGCAAAGCAGTTTCTCTCCTTGAATGTTTTAGGACTTTTGAAATGTGTACACCTCTCACAAAACTCCATCACTGTAGAGGGTGGACACAGCAAGACATTTATTTTAAATTTCCAGAAAGATCCTGAGGCAAGTGGTACATAAATGTCAAATAGTAGACCTCCAAAGAGTTTCTCCTGCAGTGAGTCAGAGGATGTAGTGGGATGCCCTTGAAGACACAGACATGTCATCCATCCAATTTCAGGCTTTTTCCAGTAAGCATATAAGCATTAAGAACAAAAGCCACTTCTTCTATCATGCCATAAACCTGCCCATCTGGTATGGCAGCAGCAAACATGGGGCAATAAGGATAGGGAAACAGCTCCTGATGGCTTTCATCTTCACTAGCATCACAAGCAGACCCCACTTGTTGTAATTTTTACAAGGCGCAGGAAAGGAGGTCAGAGATCTGGGGAGGTTCCCCTTTCAGTACAGCAGAAAACCATAGACTGTGACATCTGAAGACCTATTTTAGGGGGGGCTGAAGCCTGCCTAAAATGTTACTTGAAGCGAGTTGACTGCAGCCGGTCAGCAGCAAGAATAATCAAAGAGCAGGTATTGAGAAAATTTAGTTTATATTATATATTATAATATAAATATATTATATATTATTTTAGTTTTATATATAAAAAATTAAGATAGTATTTATCATCCCTTCTGGTAATAACAAGTAGTTATCTCAGCTAACAGTATAAAATGCAATGTTAGAAATGAATCATTTTTTCCCTGCTTAACAAAGAACAACCAGGCTTACTCCATATGAGAGAGAGAGAGAGTTATGTTCCAGCTATACAGAACACATTTTCCAGTATATATTGTTGTGGAGGTACTGGCTGTTTATAGAAGTATGTGTGCATTCTTTACCATCTTTGATAGTACTTCCTTCTATGACATCAGCGGTTTCCCTCTTTATACGTGGATACAGGCTCACAGTGAAAAGATAAGCTGAGATCATTCATGTCTGATTCTTATCAGTGGGTAATAACAATAGATTGATAATAACCACTTCACTATCCTTATTGACCTCAAGGAGAAGGACAGAGGAACATTAAGAGGGGGAGGGGAGAGAAGCCTTCAGAAAAGTGGGTCTAAAGAAAGGAGCACCAAACTGAAAAAGTCTACTGAGTAGCAGCATCTTCTAAAAAAGACAAAGATATACAGTACACTAAAGATCAGACTGAAATTGTTCTAAAATTTATTTTAATGAGAACTGTGCAATGTTGTTGAATTTTGATAAGCCCTTGAATGTATATACAAACAATGGTATTAAAATAAAAAAAAGTAAATGTCCTCAAAATTAGTATGGTTCTCTAAATAAGTGTTGCTGAAATAATGCTGTAGAAACATACATATACTAGATTTAATTTGGCAAGGAGCATAATAATCTCTGAATATTAAAAAGTAAAGATAAAGTAAAATGAGTAATGTTATATGTCAAGGGTAAATCTTAAACCGCTAGTCTGGTTTCTTCCTAAATTGCTTTACAAAACAACAACAACAAAACATTGAATCTATATCAAGGGGGCAGTTTGTCTCAAAGTGTGTCACTGAAGCAGCCCTCAGGGTCAAAAAGGATGACCCTTTTGTTAAGTTTTCACCGCAGCCGTTTGTGATACAGTCTTGTAGTTTTATATAGCTTGATATGAACATGAAATACAAAGACTTCAGTCAAGGTGCTTGATATGAGCCTTATAAACCATGAACTTTATTTTGGCGAGTAATGATTAGAAAGTGGAGATAACCAAGAGACATACATTGAAAAAGCATTTGCTTCCTTTCTGATTTCCTGTTTTTTTGACGTGTTTGTCACATGTATAAGTGAGAATCTAAATACAAAATATTAGTCAGAAACAAAATAATTAGGCATAAAATGAAACTTTTAATTATTTTATAAAACTGTCCCTTTGATAAAGGGAGAAACAAAATATTTGCTAAAATAACCTTAACCAAATATTTTTATTTATTTATTTAGGAAACTTAATATTACCTTGATTCAAGAAGTTAATATGGTCATCCTCCAAAGAGAGTTAGATGCATAATGTTGATGCTACAGAGCATTGAATTTCACATATTGCTTTATCCAAGTACATTATATACAGTTTAGTAAAATGAAAAGATGTCACATTATATTCTGGACAAACTACTGTGGCAGTTGTTTACAAAAAAAACATTCAAAAATTCCTGCAAATTCAGAAATAAACAAAGTTTCTACGCTATTCTGATCTGTACAAATATATATGTATATAGTGAACGTGAGAGAAATGAGAGATTAAAGGTACATTTTTGCATTTTTAGTGAAGCTGACTGAGCTGAACTTTTTGCATATGGATAAAATCAGTTCTTAACTGTTAAAAAGCGGTTCGTACAAATTAATTTTTATTTCTCTCTGTCCTGGCAGTTTAACTTACCCTTGTGGTTTTGATCTTGTTTCCAGCATAACACATCCAGCCTGAGTTGTCAGGAAGTGTCTTGCATTCCTCTCCCTCCAGGCAAGGCTCCATCTCACACCACCACTTCCCAATTACTATGGATGCTGCAGACAGGAAAGTCAGCAGTGTGGTTATGCTTAACTATGAATCTAAACAAATCAAATCCAGCAACTAGAAATTAAATAAATAAGCACAAATTCTGTCTTGTTAACTGTTTCAATTAAACCAGGAGTTACCTGGTAAAATTTTGTTTTATGTTTGTATGCTCTTAAATAATACTGATTCTGCTTATTTTATTCTATGTTTTACTGGACAATTTTACCACCAATAAAATGTAAAAAAATTTTTTTCCAGGAAATTGAACCTTTTGATAAGCAGTAATTTTTTCAGGGTTTGTGAAACTTATAGACTTTTTTTTAAACCTAATAAATAAATAATTAAGTCAAAAACTAAACAAATATAGAGAAATCATGGGACCATGATAACATAAATAATTTGTAGACATCACTTAATTTTAAATGAAATTTAGCTGTAGGTATCTTTTTTAGATAAGTCGGTTGGTTCACTGGACTTTGATGCTGTGTAATACCCTTACCTCCAAGCATTGAGCAAATAATACCTAATCACAAGGGTAGAAAAAAAAAACAAAAACAAATCAGATAGCTATTAATATTGTTTATAAATATTTTGTTTTTTTCTTTTCTAAATATTCTACAATACTCAAATTGAGTCATCATCTTTTAATACATTTTTTAATCAATTAAAATTTTAAAGCTTTCTAAAGTTTAATTGCATAAAGATTGTCTTCAGTCCCGCTGCATTAAGTGGTGTCAATATGCATACACATCTTTTTCACCACTAACATAATTATACTGTATTTCTTTCTGACATCTACTAGTGGTGGTTGGCCAATAGAGTGATTAGTACAAAAATAAAAAGCAAATTAAAGTTAGATTATAAAATGAAAATATAAAAATATATATATATATATATATATTTAGATAAACATTTAAACTTTAATGACGAGTAAAGCTGTATAGTTTTTGGTGGTAAAGGCGATGTATTTCC